TAATCATTAAAATCTTTTTAATCATTAAAAAAAATTTGTGCTGAAGATTGAACCTATGGCCTCATGCATGCTATGCAAGTGTTCTGCTACTGAGCTATAACCCTAGCTTTTTATCATTTTATTATTTTATTTTATGTTTTAGTTTAGAGACAAGGTCTTGTTCTGAAGACCTGGAAGATCTTGAATTTTCAGTCTTTCTAGGCCCCCTGATTAGCTGGGATGGATCTTACCACTATGATAGCCTAGTTTCAATTACCAACCTTATGATTAACTGCATGTTTTTAGATTGGGTCTTGTTTTGTAAACTTGGTTAACCTTAATCTCTGGGTTCAAGTAACTTGCCTATCTCAACCTCTTGTGTAGCTGGGGTTACAGGAGTGCCACTGCACTTAGTCATTACCTATAATTTTGAAGGAAATTCTGTCTCTCAAGGAAAAGGATACAAAGCTAATTTGATCTAAGTTCGAACACTATACTTGTAACAGTAACTACAAAATTAATTCCTTTGCTTCAAATTTTATTCATATTCCATTCCACTGCATTATCTCCATATTAGTGAGGACTTATTTTATTGTTGTTTTTCTTACATTTATTTGCTTGTGTATTTGTGTGTGTGATGATGTAAGTATTAATGTATTTTGTCACATACATGCCAGAGCACACATATGCAGGCCAGAAGACAATTTGTAGGAATCAGCTCTCTCCTTTAACCACACTCTTTCTAGGGTTAGAATCTGTCTCCCACAGAAACGTCTCTCCAGCCACAGAGCTTTATTATGGTAGTCATATTAATGGTTGTAGCAAGAAGAATATGATCTTAAATCATAAACTATTATTTCTTCCACTGACTTTGACAATCACCATCTCCTAACCATACACTGTGTAACTATACAATCACCTGTTGTTCAAAATACTCTTTTCTGACCACTGAGCAAGTATTTGACAAGACCCAGAACAAGTGTCAAGCCTCCTCAATAGCTTCCCTGCCTTCAAGCTCCAGAAAACAAGAGTTAGCAAATTCCTTGACATTTGACCCCTCTTTCTTTTCTGTGCTTTGAAAGGTGATATTTTCCCAATCAAGCATAAGTAACCATGCTCAGCACACAAACGCACACACAGAATGTGGTGTAATAATCATACTGAAATGCTTACTATTATACCTGAATTCAGAATTGTTAATTGACATACCTTGGTACAGAGTTGTGTGAATAACAAAGAACTAAGTTTATAGAAGAAAATGGTATGTTATAACCTCCTCTGTAATCTGCAGCCTAGATTGACTAAGAAGTTGGGCTATGATTCACCTCCTATATATATTTTTTTCATACAAAAGGAGAAGAATCATGTATGTAAAGTATAATTTATTAAAACTATAAAAATTTATTCATTATATGTAACCTCATAAAATAAATCATAAGAGTAAAAGTTTATTCTTTGAAATATATTCTTTTTCAATGTGTTATGTAAGAAAACAGATATCCCTGCCCCAAAAGCTGCTTAAAAAGATTGTTCCCATTTTCTAAAGGATAATAAAAGCAAAACCAAGAATTTGAAATGACAAAATATTTTGGTAGACTTTAAAGTAATACAGTAAGACATTTTTTTTTTCTCTTTAGCATTGACCTCTGAAGTTTACACAGTCAGGTTTAGCCACAATATGTTAGAATTTGTTGGTCCTCTATAAAAACTAAAAAAATAAATAAATAAAATGGTATACTCTGTTGACCACCAAATTAAAGAAAATTTTGCTTGTGGTTTTCTGCTTTATTTATTCTGCAAGCCCTTCTTAATCATCACTTATCTGCATTTCAAAGAAAGATAAACAGCGATGAAAGATGAAAACTAAAACCCATATAAGTGTGATAATAATCACAATAATACAGCAGTATTTTAGCAAAATGTGAAAGCTTTAACACCTTTAGTACTTAGAAATTAGTATTCTATGTCAACACAATTTTGAAACATAAAATATTTAAATTTGTGTTTAATTTATCTTCTTTTTAAAATTCTCTGAAATATCCCAGACCTGACATTTCTTCATCATAAATAGTTTCAATTGCATTGTGGCAATACATATTTTTGTTCTGATAACTTTGACTTATTTTTATTAACATTAATTACTAAAACATAGAAATCACCTTGCCATAAAAAGATGAAAATCTGTGGTCTTTCAATAGTAATTAAGGAAAATGTTAGACATTTTCATAATGTATAAGCATTAATCCATTCTGCATTATTAAGCAAGAGGAACTTACACACCATTTATAAGAACAGAATTAGGCATGACTGTTTGGGGAAGAAGATAATGTCTACCAAAGTTAAATATACTCCTCTAACCATACTCACGTCTTTTCTATGAACCATCAATTCTTCTAAAGAAAGCCTTGGGGCTGTCATATACAGTACCCACATACATACATACAAACATACATGCTAAAGTACGCACATCAGAAGACAGCCAAGGATTTTCATGGTAGACTAATATTAGTCCAAACTTAAAAGCAGTCCATTAATCCATTAAGAGCACAATGGTAAATTCATTGTCATGTGGTCATACAAAGAACTCCCATACTTTAATGAGAACTAGTTCTTGCTATGGTAGGACCACAGAAAAATCATGCAAATATAATGTTCTGAAAATGAATCAGATGCAAATTATTATTTATTTATAATGGTCAAAGGCAAGAAAAACATTCGTGGAGTAAATTAGGATAGTTACTACCTTTAGGAAAGTGATGTCTTTGAAAGGAGGCAGTGGTGGTTGGTGTGAACACTAATGTGTTATTAATTTATATTTCTAATTATTGGTCTGTGATCTTTTTACCTGGGTTTGTTTCCTTTATGGGAAACTCACCTAAATTTTATTATATGTTTATTTTAGAAATGTATATGCTCTTTCAGCAAAACTTTTAAAATCTTTTAAAAACCTGTGAAAATTATTTGAAGCAGCACATTATAAATGATTTTGGTGTTTGGTTGCTGCTGTTGCCTTTATATGGCTCCAGAAAGAATTTGCTAAGGTATTAATAATGTTAAAGTAATTGTCTCCATTGATCAATAGGGCTGTAAGCTGTTATAGCTAACAGTAATGAAGTACATATTTCAAATCAATACCTTCAGTTTTCCTTTTTTTATTACTATATCACAAGTAGATTAGTTAATAAATAACAATTTACATGAAGACATTTTATACATCATTTTTAGTAAGATGACCTTTCAGTCCTAAGAAAATCTCTTTTAAGGACCATCATTGGGCATGAAAATACTTTTTTTTTTCATGTAATTAAAGTTTTCACAGAACAGTGATCTACTCTCATATGATTCCAGTTTAGGATAAAGTCTTCTCTGATTTTTGAAAGAGAAAATTTGATGAAGAATTTAAGTATGAAATAAACTCTTTATTGGGGAAGTCTTTCTAAGGATTCATGATTAATTATTCTTTTAAAAAATTTTAATTATTTAATGATATTGAAGATAAATTATAATTATTAAGTTGTTTTTGTAAATTTTAATAAAATATCACAAATCAGAGGAGCAAATGATAAAAAATTTTATCTACAAAATTATTGTGATGAATTCTCATTATATAAAATTCATGTCATTAACTAATATGTCTTAATTACTAACATTAAATACACACCAAGTAAATACTTCTGCTTTTTAAAAAACACACAGTACCTTTGATATTTAACATTATAAATGATTATAGATAAACTATCATGCCAAATTATCAGCTTCTTGTAACTTTAATTTTGTGCCATGTTCTGTAACATTTTCATATACATAAAAGCTCTACATACTTTTGATTTACTCTTATATGTATAATATCTATAAATCAAAATTTACAGATATTATAAAATACTGTTACACATTTCACTGAAAATACTGTGATCTGAAATGTTTCAAGCCCTCAAGTTTGAAGGAAGTCAACATTTGGAAGAAACAAAATTTTCTTCTTAACCTTTCCCTATTATGAACAGGCATTCCAGAACAATATTACTTTCTGTAAGGGAGTAAGTGACCCATGGGAGTCACACTCCTTAAAGTAGCCAAAAGATTGAAACTTGTTTTATTTACACAACAAGGAATCCTTACAGCAGATGGAAACCAGGATATGCTTAACTCATTCAGTGTTCTAGTATTTAACTTTGGTACTCTTGAAAAGGTTGTCAGTCATAAAGTGAAAATCCCACAGTAATTGTGTGACAAAAGTCTATATGAACAATTTTGCTTTCATACAATGTTTAATTGACAATAGGTTCTCATTTATATGAGGTTTCAGCTAGCTTATTTTAGTATCTTCTAAGTAACTGTACAGAAAAGTAGAAAGCCTACCTAACATGATTGAGACATAATAAAAAAAAGTCATGTCAGAACAATTTTACAAGTTGATAGGCTTTTTATACTGCTTTCTTCCAAAAGACAACTGTAGACACAGAACACACCTGATGATTTATTAATGATTTGCCTTCATGTATTGCTGAATTAGGTCATCGCAAAGTAGTGCCTTAAAGTTTCTATTTTTGACTGAATCTCTGCATATATTAAAAAGGACATTTTTTCTGATCAATAAATGCTTAAGTTCTATATTATTCTTTCTATTTTAATGATGCCCTATTTCTAATTTCGTACTGTTTTGTACGTTTTAAAAGAAAAAAAAATCAGATCACGTTTTCATCATTACAAAGAAAACCCTAAGAGAAATATATAAGGGAAAAACTAGCCTTTTGAAGCCATTAGGTTTTAAAGGGTAGTGTGGGAAGAGTAATGACTTAAATACACACTATCAGTGAAAATAACAGGAAATTACATGTTTCTAGAGGTCTCAATAAATAAATCACTAGGCTGTTTTAAACAAATAAGTATGATTTAAAAGATACTTTCAGTAAGCTGGAACACAATCACACATTCCTCAGCTTCCTCATTAACAAGTGGTTGCAGCTTTAATGCATCGGCTTAATGAGCTCTCTTAATGAGACTGTTCATGCTTGCGGACTTACCTCAGTAACAGTGCGGCTTCCCAGAAGTAAAATCCAGAAACTAGTGTCCGAAAGTGTCTCACGTGGGCCATGGTACGGAGCGATATTCACGATCCTGCGAACAGTCTTATCCAAGGCATGGGGGACCAGAAAGGCAGAAGTGAAAACGTGCCATCTAACCCCTTCTGGGGCTGTGGGAGACCAACGCTCGGGAAGCGTCAGCACCTCAGACAGCTCCCGCAGGACCGAATCCCTCTCTGTTTCAAACACTGGAGGTTTGCCTGGACCCCTCCTCCGAGAAGAGGGATTCTCAGGGCTACAGACCTGTGAGAGATTTCACAGTGAAGCTGTGGAAAGGAGTGAGGCTGAGCTGAGGCGTCAGGAGTGCCTAGGTCCCGAGCAACAGTTCCCCAAAGCTCAGCAGAAAAGGACTCGCCTTCCCTTGGCTCTGAACCAAGCGGGAGTCGAGGAAGAACAGGGACAGTCAAAATCGGGAATGCTGCTTCACTGGCTCCAAGCGCCTGAATCACGCTCTCCACCTTTGCGAAAAACCCACCGAGCGGAGCGCGCAAAGACAGGCGGGGGCGGGGCCAGAGGACTTGTCCTTCCCGCCAATCACAGCTGCACAGCGGGACAGAGTGACAGGCCACTTACCACGCAAGGGAGAGCTCAGCCTTTCACCCCTCAGAAAAAGGAGGGGCAGTGTAGAATTGGTGCAGAGCCCACTAGGCTCCTGGAGGGAGTGGGGGAGGCAGCCTTAGGGCTGAAAAGAGGGGAGGGGAGGGGAGGATTCAGCGGTTTTCAGGATTAGGAGTCAGAACTATGAGATGATTCTTTCTCCCGTACGGAAAAGGCATAATTTTGGAAAAACATATCTCTTCGGGTATGACTGTCTCTTAGGTCTTACACTGAAACGCTGGAATGCTGGAATGGACCATGAACCCACACACCCTTTAAAAGGGCCTGGGAAGCTGGGAATGCGGTGCACATGCCCAGCAAAATCGTCACTTCTAGGACCATCTCATGAACATGGCCAGCTTGCAGCCAGTTAGTTGACATCAGTGCTAATGAGGATTCTGAAAACAAAACAAAACAAAACACCCCCAAAAAACAAAACAAACAAACAAACAAAAAAACTAAGGAAGTCTCCTGAGGCTGCTGCTAGAGAGATATCGCTTTGGTTTCCCCCTCAGGTTTTTCAAATGGTCATGGTGGATTTTAAATGGAAGAACTAGAATGTAGTGCTAAATGGCTTATCTCTTCTTTCATCACTCCAGAGCTTAGACTCTAGTTTTCCCATGTTCCATTCCTTGTTCCTTCTTTCTTCTTTCCATTCAGTTGTCTCTCTCTCTCCTCTTACTCTTTCTCTCTCTCTCTCTCTCTCTCTCTGTGTGTGTGTGTGTGTGTGTGTAAAATATAAAATCTTTATTTACTAATAGCCAGTATGAAACTATTAATTTCTTCTGGCTTTTTTTCAAAACTTCAATGGGGATTTATTCTTAAAGTGTTCCTTTCAACTCTTAACTTTTGCAACAACTAAGCTACATGTTAAGAATGTATTCTTAACTTGTCTCACAATCTTTTCCATACTTCAATTCGAAGTATAATTCACAATTTAAGTGCAAAATGCAAAACTCCATTTAACAGGAAGAATACAAGACGTCATGTACCAATCTGCAGAAAGAAGCTAGAGTAAATATTCTTATTTATCTCTCCTATATAGTAAATAACATTATTCTCATCCAGTAAAATTCAGAGTTTTCTAAATTTATTTCTGTATTTTTGGAAGGCATTCTTCACAACACTGTTTTCTGATTTAAATCACAAACTCACAGAAGACTCATAAGAAATACCATCAGTTCTAAACCTCCTAGAAGGTTCTTAACAATTTTTTTTGTATCTGCATTACATATATGTATTTGTTTACATGCACATAAGTGCAAGTATACAGGCATGCTTATGCTATGTTTGGAAGTCATGGGACAACTTGTGAATAATCAATTATGTCGCGTCCCACTGTGACTTAAAGCGATAACACTTAAGTCATCCAGCTTGGCTGCAAATTCCTGTACCTGCTCAGCCATCTCACTGTCTCTGAGAAGATGTCATTCTTTTTAATTAATCTGCTAAATGTTTGGATGATACAGATGCTTTTCAGTTAGTAATTTTTGATTAACAATGACAGCTTTTAAAAAGTACACATATTAAAAAGTTATCTACACTACAATTGTTTTTATTTCATTTCCTGTTAAAGAAAAAAATTCTTGTTATACAGGATTGTTTCGGGGATTCTGTTTTTTTTTTTTTTTTTTCTCCATATGAAGCTGAGAATCTTTTTTTTTTCAAGGTCCATAAAGAACTAAGTTGGTATTTTGATGGGAATTGTATTGAATCTGTAGATTGCTTTTGGCAGGATGGCCATTTTCACAATGTTTATCCTACCAATCCATGAGCAGGGGAGATCTTTCCATCTTCTGATATCTCCTTCAATTTCTTTCTTCAGAGACTTGAAGTTTTTCTCAAACAGGTCTTTCACTTGCTTGGTTAGTGTCACCCCAAGGTACTTTATGTGGTTAGTGGCTATTGTGAAGGGTGTTGTTTCCCTTATTTCTTTCTCGGCCCTTTTGTTGTTGGTATACAGGAGGGCTTCTGATTTTTTTGAGTTGATTTTGTATCCTGCCACTTTGCTGAAGGTGTTTATCAGCTGGAGGAGTTCTCTGGTTGAATTTTTGGGGTCGCTCATATATACTATCATATCATCTGCGAATAGTGACACTTTGACCTCTTCCTTTCTGATTTGTATTCCCTTGATCTCCTTTAGTTGTCTTATTGCTCTGGCTAGAACTTCAAGTACTATGTTGAATAGGTATGGAGAGAGTGGGCAGCCTTGTCTTCTCCCTGATTTCAGTGGGATTGATTTAAGTTTCTCCCATTGAGTTTGATGTTGGCTATAGGTTTGCTGATATTGCTTTTACTATGTTTAGATATGTGCCTTGTATCCCTGATCTGTCCAAGACTTTAAACATGAATGGGTGTTGGACTTTGTCAAATGCATTTTTGGCATCTGAGGAGATGATCATGTGGTTTTTCTCCTTCAATTTGTTTATGTGGTGGATTACATTGATGGATTTCCGTATGTTGAACCACCCTTGCATGCCTGGGATGAAGCCTACCTAGTCATGGTGGATGATATCTTTGATGTATTCTTGGATTCAGTTTGCAAGTATGTTATTGAGTATTTTTGCATCAATGTTCATAAGAAAAGACTGAAGTTCTCTTTTTTTTGTTTTTTGTTTTTTGTGTGGTTTAGGTATCAAGGTGACTGTCCTCATAGAATGAGTTTGGTAATATTCCTTTTGTTTCTATTCTGTGGAATAGTTTGAAGAGAATTGGAGTTAGCTCTTCTTTGAAGGTCAGGTAGAATTATTTTTCTTTTTCCGTAATAAGCCAAATCTATTTATTTAACTACATGGTTAATAAATGGCAGGTGACGAGAGGCAGGGCAAGATGGCTGTGCCAGGAGGACTCTCATTCTGAGGAGCAGCACAGCAGGATTGGCACAGTGACCAGCAATCAGAACTCGCGGCCATAAAACACAAGGGATTGTGTTTCACAGGTGTGAGGATACCCCATGGTGGGGGATTCAATCAGCTTTAACTCACCAGGCTAAACCGCAGAAGAGATCCCGGTTCCGCCAGGCGATTGGTCGCCAGCCCAGAGCTACACACCAGCGCAATCTGGTCACGGTCCCAGACTGAACTAGGCCAAAACATCATAGACTGGATTTCCCAGTTGAGAGATAACCCCACGGAGCAGGAAACAATTGGGACCGACCTCAGGTTACCCAGACATCCCCTGGAAAAGACTCAGGTTCCGCGGGTGCCCCAAGAGCCAGCACGGACCCAGAGCCGGGACCCAGGCTCCTGCACGGAGCCCTGCATGCATGCCTGATTCACTGCCTCAGATAGAACTGTGGGCACCAGGGCACCAGGGTATCAGGGCACCAGACTGCGTGTCTCTGGCAGCAGGAAACCCCCAGCGGAGGGGGTCAGCAGCTCTAACGCTTAGGATTCCCAGCACCAAAACACTTCCTGGACTCACGCAGACTCTAGTGCAGGCAGGAGCACTGTGCTCTGCCGCCATTATTGAGTTCCCCTAGGGCACTGGGACACACAGCTGCATCTTCAGACCTACAAAAGCCAGAGAGCCATTACAGCAGCCCTCAGATACTGTGCCAAGGATCAACCAGTTATCCCTAGCTAGACTATCAAAACTGTGGGAATTCCTGGTCCTTCAAGAGGGCCTCACCCACAGCGTCTGGACCAGAGCAGTGCCTGCAGCCGCCAACTCAACCTAGGTGCACATTCTCCAGGTCCAGAGTGGAGCAATCAGCCTCTGGCCCAGAGACTTGCTGAGTGCACCTCCCACTTTCCCGGACAGAACTATGCGCCCCAGGATAATAGACTGAGTTTCCCTGTTGGGAGAAAACCCCACAGCTAGGGAATCAGCAGGTTCTTCAAGAGGATTGTACATGGAAATTTAGTGAGCAGCAGCACACTAAATTTATAACAAGAAACCCAGCAGTGGGGCAGCTGTCTTGAGAAATTCTATGGGTAAGAGGAGATCCCCACCTGACTAACATAGACCACAGCTACTACTCAGGGCTATAAAACTGAGGTGAGCAGTGGCAACTCCTGAGAAACACTGGCCATACAGTGACCATAACCAAAAAGCAGAGAAGGACTCCTTCAGGAAAAGTCATCTTCCGACCAATGGGGATACTCCCTACCTCAGGACGCCAGGAAGCACAGAAACTAACAGCCAACACCTAAATCAGCCCAATGGGTAGAGGTCAGTGTAAAAGCTCAACCAACAAAAGACAGAGCACTATGGCATCTCCAGAACCCAGCCATCCAGGAGCGAACAGCCCTGAACAATGCAGCATAATAGAAAATCAAGAAGATGACCTTACATCTATGTTGATGAAGAGGATAATAGAGGAAACAAATAAAATACGTAAAGAATTAGAGGAAGATAAAACCAAACAGATCATGGCTATCCATAAAGAAATGGAGGAAGATAAAGACAAGCAGATTAGGGCCATCG